TTGCACGTCTGCACAGTGTTATATGTTCACAGCTCAGTGTCAGTAAATATTGTGCAGTTAGTATTGGACTACAAGATAGATGCAAGCCTGTACAGGTAGAGTTATTTAAAGCATAAATGAGTCGATTGGGTTCTGGCGGTGTGGTTACAGCATTGTGCTTGGTTGGCGTGGCCTGGGCCTGGTGGTGTTTTTTTAAAAATGTTTTTTGTGTTAATGTAATAGCAGTTTAAAAAGGACCGGTCAAATTTGACCGTGAACACCAAAGTAAGGGGGGGAAACGAAGGAGGGTTACTCATTGAATTCAGGTGTGTCGTTCAGTCCCATTGCCACAGGTGTATAAAATCAAGCCCCTAGCCATGCAGTCTGCCTTTACAAAACATGTGTGAAAGAATGGGTCGTTCTAAGAGCTCACTGAATTCGAACGTGGTACTGTAATAGGATGCCACCGTTGCAACAAGTCAGTTCGTGGAATGTCTTCTCTCCTAGATATTCCACGGTAAACTGTAAGTGGTATTACTGCAAAGTGGAAACGCTTTAGGAGCTGCAACTCAGCCACGAAGTGGCAGACAATGTAAAGTTACAGAGCGGGGGGGGGGGAGCTGAGGAGCATAGTGCGTTAAAGCTCTGCTGACCCAATAACTGCAGAGTTCCAGCTCTGGCATTAATATCAGCACCAAAACTGAGCTTCAGGGCATTTTGGACAATTCTATGCTTCCAACTTTTTGGGGAAGGCCCTTTTCTGTTCCAGCATGACTGAGCCCCACAAAGCAAGGTCCATCAAGGCCTGGTTGGGTGAGTTTGGGTGTGGAAGAAACTTGACCGCAACCTCATTGAACACCTTTGGGATGAACTAGAATGGAGAGCCCCTCTCGTCCAACATCAGTGTCTGACCTCACACATGCTCTTCTGGATGAATGGGCAAAGATTCCCACAGACAGACTCCACAATCTTGTAGAAAGCCTTCCCAGAAGAGTGGAAGCTGTTATCGCTGCAAAGGGGGGGACCAACTTCCTATTAATGCCTAAGAATTTGGATGTCATAAAAGCTCCTGTAGGTGTAATGTGTCGGTGTGGGCCCAATACTTTTGTCAATATAGTGAATGAAGAGGCGCATGGAGGGCACGCCCCACCTCAAAAAGCACATTACAGGGGCAATGGAAAGATGTGGGCTAAAAAGACCAAACACACACACCACCCAGTCACATGTATTGTTTTGTCCAAATCACTGATAAAATAATTATTTTTTAACAAAATTATTATTATAGTATGTTTTTTTTTATCATTGTTATCACCGATGTATTACTGGCTATTGACTAGCAAAAAAACTGTTTTAGTTCCATATTTTGAAATGGTTGATTGAAAATAATGATGTGTGGTGATCAAAAACAAGATATTTAATGAATACTTGGAATATTAAATGATTAAATAAATGGATTTCCTAGCTAAGAAACACTCAGCCATACATGAAATAACATTGTAAGTCAATACGGGTCATTTTTGACGCATGTTGTCCCCTTAGAAGGGGTGCATTAGGGTTAAAGGGTTAAATAATATATTTTGAATTGTCAAAGGAGTTTTATCACTTCAGTATTTGTTTTTGTGACATGACTGGCAGTGTTGGGTCCAACGACACTGTCCGATAAACTATCTGTATACTAAGGAGTGGACAGGTTCACGTGCAACATTGGGCGTGAGACAAATCCAAACGTGTTACACACTTTCCTGTTTAATGTGGTCAGTGGGGGCCAGTGGCAGGGACCCACAGCTACGATATGGTCTGATGTAAGGGCATACTGTAAGAGCTCTGTATGGGGGCTGTGCGCTATAATGTGAAGTGGGCATGCTGCCAGTTCTCTCTACCCCAGGGGCCTCTGGGTAATTATGTTTTACGTTTAAGTCCTCCATTCACCAGAGGGGAGATGTGTGGTGAGGGGCAGACCTAATACTGGGTGTGTCTGCATGCTCCTCACTTCGACACACGTAGTAGGCCTACATGAACATGGACGTCTTAAAATAGCCACTAACAAATACCGTAGTAGTACTCGAGCTTAAGTAATTTTTTCTTTATTTTTTAAACGTTGTGACAAATATGTGATGAATTAAGACCAGGATATATGCCTAATGATGATATATGTTGTGGTAAAGTATGGCGAATAATACACACATACACAAACACAGACTGTTCCACCATCTGCAGGGCTTGTTAGGTTATCTCCTTTGAGATTAAATAGCAGCCCCTAGAGGCTCAACATCGTCATCACACCCCCCAACAAAATTTTTAAATGCTCAACAAAACAAAAAGCCTTTTAGATTATGACATAACTTGTGTGCAGAGTTGGCATTTTGATGTTGTTAAAGACAAACACTCCTGGAGTGATTTCAATTGATCCATCTTGAGGGGAGCATGAATGTACCATTTAATAAAACATTTAATGTATAAATGTTTCAAGAAGGGTAAGGGGTAATAAAAAAACAACTAACAAAAACTTGATTTATCACTTGATGTAAATGTCTACAGGAAATATACTATACTATGCAGTATGACCTGCATATGAATTCATAACGTTATCTAACATATTGCTTTTAGTATTACTGAGAACTATGAATGTTACTAATGATGATTACATATAAAGTGTGAGTCACTCATTAGTGCAACAATGAAAACCTACTGAAGTTACTCAATAGAGCAAACTGTTGAATACTGTAAACATAATAATCATTAAAAATACATTTAAAAAATACGAATTATTTCAAAATTAAATTTGAGAAAGAGAAAAGTCTAAGTATGTAAGAGTGATATTGAATTATATGCTTTTTACAGGTCTTTACAGCAGTTTGAAGTAAACAGTTAACAACGGTTGAATATGTTATGTTTATTTATCTTTTAAGTAGTGCACTGCAAACCTTAAGAGTGCTTTTTCCATTAATGATAGTGAGTGTATGCCCATATGTTTGCAGATGGGTGTTTATGGGATGCATTTTTGTCAAGAACTGTCTTTTATTTGATTGTTTTACTACATCCAGACCAGGATAACATATTACACTTCCTGTTATTTGCTGCCTGGAGCCACTTTTGAGGCCTCCTTTCAGGCAATTTTCCTTCATGTTCCCGTGTGAATAATACACTGTGTCGCTCGTAGTGATGAACCCTAACCTGACTCCCTTTACAAGAACTTCCAGCGCAGTTTGGTTTTTGGACAAAGGTTACTGTTTGGTGCATGCATCGTTTCCGCAATTCTCTTTTTAAGTATGTTTCAACACGACTATAGATAAATCCTGCTTGTTGTGTAAATAAGCAACTGTTGCTCAAAAACAAAACAAGATGGAATGTCCCCTTGCAGATTGTTAAGGTGGCTACTTTCTTCATTTTCTCAAAAAGGGATGCCAGTGATAATAGCTTCTCACTGCTGACCCCAAGTGGCCAAAGTCAGTTATTGCAGCTTGAATGCATTCCCCCCCCCCCCCCCCCCCCCCCCCCCAACACAAACACATACAGTACAGGGACCTGAAAGCAGCATACTATACATTATCTTTGCTTGTATCAGTTGAAAAATAAACAAGAACGTTCACTATTTATTCACATTGATACAAAATATCCCTGCTAAAAGAACAAAATAAGTTACCATAGCTATGCAGATGACACACACATTTACGTAACAATTTCACCAGGAGACTATGCTCCAATTCAAACACTGAGTAAGTGCATTGAACAAATCAATGACTGGATGTGTCAGAACTTTCTCCAATTAAACAAAGATAAAACTGAGGTAATGGTTTTTGGAGCAAGGCAGAACGTATAAAAGTTAGCGCTGAGCTTCAGTGTGCAATGTTCAAAACAACAGATAAAGCCAGAAATCTAGGTGTAGTCATGGACTCTGACCTGAGTTTCAACAGTCACATTAAAACAGTTACTAAATCAGCCTACTATCACCTAAAGAATATATCTAGGATTAAAAGACTAATGTCACAGCAGGATTTGGAAAAACTTGTCCATGCTTTTATCTTCAGTAGACTCGACTACTGCAATGGTGTCTTCACAGGTCTCACTACAAAATCTATTAGAAAGCTGCAGCTGATTCAGAACGCCGCTGCTCGAGTCCTCACTAACACTAAGAAAGTGGATCACATCACTCCTGTTCTGAAGTCTTTACACTGGCTTCCTGTGTGTCAAAGAATAGATTTCAAAATACTGCTGCTGGTTTATAAAGCACTGAATGGTTTAGGCCCAAAATACATTTCTGACCTCCTGCTAAATGATGAACCATCCAGATCTCTCAGGTCTTCAGGGACTGGTCAGCTTTCTGTCCCCAGAGTCAGAACTAAACATGGTAAAGCAGCGTTCAGTTATTATGCTCCAAATATCTGGAACAAACTCCCAGAAACCTGCAGGTCCGCTGCAACTCTTACTACTTTTAAATCCAGGCTGAAGACTTTTCTTTGTGTCGCTGCTTTTAATTGAACTATTCACATCTTAGACTGCACTGTAACTTTTATCCATGTACTTTTTCTTTTAATGTTTATTTTATTAGCTTTTCTTTTTAATGACTGATTTTAAATGCCATTTTCTTAATCTCTTTCATTTTTTGTAAAGCACTTTGAATTGCCTTGTGTTGAAAGGTGCTATATAAATAAACTTGCCTTGCTGATGTTTACATATTTTGCTGCAAGTAAGTTCATTTCTAGTACGCACGCAAGCGCAGTGTAAAATCTGTTGTACCCATACAACTCTTTTGATGTTCTTGGCTTGGTCGAATGTATCTGGTGAAAATGTTCTGCATGTCCATGAATCTTTTCATGGCTGTCGAATATATCAAACCACACTGCACGCTGGTGTTCTGCATTAGATCGCTGCAGGAGAAGAAAATCACATCTGTAGCAGAGTTGAAAATCAAAACCAAAGAAATTCTGCTTCAGTGTGAATTCAGCTGGGATACGATCATCCTGTGCGAGGTAAATGCAGTTAGTGAAACACAAAAACATGTGAAGAAATAAAAAAGGCACTTTTTCAAAATGTCAAGCAACTTTATTAAACTCATTATTTGTAGTTATTGAATAGGACATACTGTTTCTGCATTCTGTTCATTAAGAAATTGGAGTTGCATTGATTTAAAAATCTTTACTAGTGTTCTACATCTTTCACATTCATCTCAGGGATTTGTTATGTATTCTTCAGACAGCCCCCTTAAGTACAGTATTGTGGTTCCAGAGCAGAGCACTGAAACAGTGCTGAAACGAACTATAACTGAATACATTCATCTAAAATATCTTTAGATAATAATTGAAAAAGATGCCAAAAGGAGACATACAACTTTATTCCTTCTTCTTTTTAAAAAATAAAACCCTTTTTTTTCTTACTTCTTCACGAGATGACTTAGCTGACACTAGTTGCTAAACAAACTTATCGACCGCATTTAAACCGAGCTGCCCAGCCCTCTAGCTAGACACGTATGTATTCAGTTATAACTAGTCTCACCACCTCTCACTACATTTGTGTTGCAAGTTCCTTTTACTGAGTCCAATTCATTCTGCCACAAAAATGGCATTTTGGATTCTCTCAACATATTTGTCCAGAAGCATTGTTGAGGCCTGAGTATTCATAATATGATCAAACTAAATGTAGCCTTTTCTGTTAGTTGTTATAAAATGTGCTCTTACATCACAATATGTATTTTCAATACCCACTGAAGCTGAAATCAGACTTGTTCCCAATGTGTGATTAAATACAAACAGAACACATCATCACATACACGCCAGCTCAGCAGGTGGCTTTGCCTTTACTTTTCAGCCCACACTGTGTCAATCAAACTAAATCAGCAAGTGGTTTAGGTGCTAGCCAATGTTCTAATTCAATACGTTCCCATTCCTTCCACTAATGCTCCCAACACAGCAGTGAGGCTGAATCCCAACACAGCGGTGACGCTACCAGAATCCTCCCTGCCAATGACACCATTAAGAATTCCCATAACAGAGTTCAGAGTCAATTTAATTCTCCTTCAGGGCTTGAATGGGAATTTGGAGCAATTACCTCAAATTATCTCTTCAATAGGAAAATCATGCTTTGTTCGAAGGAGTATTAGGTCCAAGCATAAAAGGGAAAAAAACAAGGGAAATTGTTGATCTATTTTGCATTTCGAGAATACATTCCAAATGTGGAGAATAAAGTCCAAAACCATGTAGGAAATAGTTGTATTAGCCATTTGGAGAATAAGTTTGAACTTTTCTGGGAATAAATCAAAGTACCAGTGTTAGCGCATACACTGTTATGTTGACATTATTCTTGAAAGTTTGGCAGTTTTCTCAAAATGTAAAATAAATCCTCTTGTTTTTTCCCTCATACTCCTCCAACAACCGGACTTCTCAGTATATCAGCTGTGCACACTGACAAATCAGGGAAAAACCCTACACTCCTAGAAGTCGAGGATGATGACGCACTCCTCTGTTGGACTACAACATGCTTCTCTCACTTCAGACTCTCACTGTGTGTGTGTGTGTGTGTGTGTGTGTGTGTGTGTGTGTGTGTGTGTGGGTGTGTGTTGGTGTGTGTGGTGTGTGTGGGTGTGTGTGTGTGTGTGTGTGTGTGTGTGTGTGTGTGTGTGTGTGTGTTCCTCAGTGTGTTACAGTTTGCTGCTCAGCTGAGGCTGTGTGTGTGTGCCGGCTGTTCCCGGGAAGCCTCCGTCGAAGGCGCCGTTCAGAACATCATCCAGGTTGGCGGCGATGACAAAGTCAAGGTCGGCTCTGACGTTAGCTGGTAGCTCCACTAAGTCCTTCTCGTTGCGTTTCGGGAGGATGACGCGCTTCACTCCCGCTCTGTGTGCCGCCAAAACTTTGTCTTTGATCCCCCCCACCTGAAACAGACCAATCAGGTGTGTTTAAAGTTGAAAAACAAATGCATTCTGTCTTTAAATTACATATTGAGAACTCACAGGCAGCACCAGCCCTCGCAGCGTGATCTCGCCCGTCATGGCGACATCTGATCGGACCAATCGACCGCTAAACAGCGAGGCTAGGCAGGTTACTATGGTAACACCTGCAGAAGGGCCATCCTTGGTGACGGCTCCAGCAGGGAAGTGGAGGTGGATGTCCGTCCCTTCCATAGGGTCTGGCCCTCCCACCACTGATCAAACACACACAAGTGCACGTCAATTAGCCTAGCTGCGGATTATAAGTATTTCTTTAACTCAGGGGTGGGGAACCTTTTTCCTCTCAAGGGCCATTTACATTTTTTCAACATCCTCCGAGGGCCGCACAAATTATTGACCTCTGCTTAAAAATACTAAAATCACAGCCCATTAATTTGACCTTTCTTTCATGCTGTGCAAAGAAAAAGCAACCTCTTAATCCAGATATCTCACCATGACTCGCGCATGCATGCATGCACGTGCACAGTGTGGCGTGACCACCAAACAGAAAGATATGGACACAAGATGTGTGCAAATGTATTTAGTTTCCTATCCATGTGGACATGATTTAAGTGGGGGGGAGCTAACCTCCTCTAAGGGGGGGGGGCATGCTCCCCCGGGAAGATTTATTTTTAAATGTTGAAGTTAAAAGCATCAATCTGGTGCATTTTGAGAGCAACATTAAGAGATCTATGGATCCATCTCTCAACACCCATTTGAAACAGAACTGGAAGCAGATTTACTTTTTCTTTATGGATATTTTACAAATCACTTCCCTTTCAAACTGTATTCTTCTTTATTAATAACAACTTTTTTTTACTGTCATATAGTATTTTATACCTGTTTACTTTATTCTCTTATTTGTTTTATAACTATAATGATCATATAAAGATGTGCCTTTACCTCACTGGTTGTAGAAAAAGCTTCTTATATTCGTTAGCATAGCTAGCTAACCAGATGCTAATAACAACAAAGTTATTGACTGTATGATTAGTATGACAGATCGCCACTGGGCTTTCAACTAAAGACACAGTCACGCAGAAACTGCAGCATGTGTAAGGCTCCTTATGGGTACTGCAATTTGTGAAGTGCCGGAGCCGTGTTCTGGTGCTCTCCGTCAGAACTGCACCCCTGTCAGTCGAGACATATACCACGTGATGACACGTTAGGCTCGTGTTGTGTTCAAGGACCATCACCATTCTTCCCAAAGGTCAAGGAATACCATGATCATAACACCAGAGGGAGCTCCACAAATCATGTGAAACCCAGATTTGGCACAAAAAAGGGGAAATACACGTTTCGCAATTATGCCACATCAAGGTGGAACGCTCTTCCCACAACTGTAAAGGAAAGTAAAACTATACTTACCTTCAAAACCTCTCTTAAAGAGCACCTTCGGGGGAGAGCATTGCAAAACTGGCCCCGGTAATGGTACAAATCTCAACCTGTCGTTCAATGGACAGCTTCCCCCCCCCCCCATCTATGTATATACTCGCATTTTAGACTCTGTTACTAACTGTATATCTGTAGACTTGGTATGTCTTAAATGTCCGGTTAGGATGTATTAGAACGAAATCTAAAATGAAAATTGTAAACAAGCAATCTGTATGTAAAAAACCACCTGTATGTAAATTGTAAATAAGCCATCTGTATGTCAAATATGTCTTATATGTCTTAAATGACATGATGAATTGGAAATGGGGGACCCTGATGTAAACAAGACGAAAGTCTTTCTCTGGTCTGCATCCCCTTAACAATTGTATGTTTTGAGCAGTACTGTACTGTACCCAATATACAAGCTGTTAATAAACTTTTCAATCAATCAATCAATCAAAACCGTTGCCAGGAAAAACATGCACTCGCTTGTTTAATTATTTTGCGGTCTAGATTTCTTTAATTTTTTTCTTTTTTGCGTGTGTTTATAAATTACCTCGAGGGCCGTACCAAATGGTCTGCTTTAAGTGATGTACAGTCTGTGTCTGTGTGCACTCACTGTTGGTGAGCTGGTAGGTCTTAGCGTTGGCTCGGAGCCAGCTGATAGCCAGATGTGCGGATTCCTTCATAACATCTCCCAGCTGACCTGTCAGAGTGAGCTGGCCCTCCCCCTCCATCCGACTGGCCTCTACAAACAAGATCTCCCCCCCCAGCGGCGTCCAGGCCAGACCGACAGCCACGCCGGGAAGGGTGAGCCGCTCAGACACCTTACCACACACGCGCACACACACACAAAAAGGGAAAAGCGGGTTTGGTGTTTCACTTTATACTGTTTGATGATATCAAGTGGCTGCTGCGATATTCTCACTTAATGTACAGCAGCTGTTGCGGAGCTGTGAGACACATTTTCTTTATATTCATGAGCTGTGTAGAAATACCACACAGCCTCAGGACATTAAATATATCTGGAGGTCATCTCTGCAGATGTATGTACATGTGGATGGCTCCTGCTCACCTCCATCTCAAACAGAGGGGGCCCCAGGATGTCTTTTAGGGCCACGTGGTCGATCATGATGGGCATCTCTGGCGGCGCGGCAATGTCTGAGCACAGGAAGGTAAGTTAGTGCTTTATGTTAATGTCATATTTTGTATGAGAAGATGGATACATGAATAGAAGAACATTTTTCTCAGCTGCTACTTAGAATACAGTCACACAACAAACTGTCGTAGAACAAAACGTGATCCATCTCTTAAATTTGTGTTAACCACAGACCTTATTTCCAGCTATCTTCCAAAATCCTATGGAGAAATCCCATTGGCTCTGAGACGAGGGAACCGTTTTACCGCGGTAAAATGCTAACTCACTTCCGGGTTTTAGGACTCGTCACTGCACCACTCTATTAATGTGCTTGTCTTCTCTTCAGTTTCCAGCAATATCTAATAAAAGCTGACATTGTAAAGGCTGTAGAGAGAAACAATGCTTCTTTTCAACAAGGATCCTCTTTTCCCACGTGTTATTGTCTACATTAAGTGAATAATGGAAACGACAATTTAGTTACACTTTTATTCTGTTTGTTTCCCTTTGTTTGAAATATTTTAGTAGTTGAATTATGTGAAACGTCTTAAAAGGGTCTAGGTTGAAAAGTTCATCCTTAATAAGAGAATCATTTGATGTATATTGATTGACTTTAATCGGAGAATGTGTTAGTATATGTAATGAGGGAGGGTGCTCTGCTTAGCATTTATCTCTCTGCTGCCAATCTAATCTCCCGACAGACACAACAGAACAGGCAGAGAGCTCGTGCCCTTACCCCCCCGCTGCGCTGGGTTCTCCGGGCTCAGAGCCTCCGTCTTTGTGACTGTGTGACCTTCAGCGATCTTCACAGCCACGGCCCGGCAGATCGCCCCCAGCTTCCTCTCAAGGGAGCGCACGCCCGCCTCCCGGGTGTAACTTAACAGGACAAAAACACACAAATGATGATCAATGAAATGATGAATGATGTGGGGTGAAGTTTTCAATGGAGCTGTCGCTGAGCATCAGTGATCAGCGTGAGTCAGAGGTGTGATCTGCAACACAAACACAGGGTTCCTGCAGGTTCCACCAACTCAAAGTCAAGACCTTTTTAAGACCACTTTGAATAGAATTTAAGACCTTTTAGCAAGAAAGTATGAAGGGAAATTGCTATGAAAGAAGAAATACATCCCATAATTACTTACAAAGTAAATGTATTCACGTTCAACATAAGAACGATGACTGAACACAACAGCATAACAGTACAGAACTTTGTTAGCGTGAAAAAAGCAGAAAAAAAGAAACTGCCTAACCGTGAATGTGTCTCTCTCTCTGTGTGTGTGTGTGTGTGTGTGTGTGTGTGTGTGTGTGTGTGTGTGTGTGTGTGTGTGTGTGTGTGTGTGTGTGTGTGTGTGTGTGTGTGTGTGTGTGTGTGTGTGACAAGAGCTATCTTCTGAGCTCTGCTCCCTTGGCTACAATCTTTCATCGTTGCTGTTGTAGGATTGGTGTTTAGCTACGGTATTTAGCGTCCACAACACCTTCGCTTTTATTTAGGGTTGACGTAGACCCAAACGTCCCCCGATGTTGTTAAGTCCGTGGATTGGAAAAATTGACAAATGGACCAATCCGCGGACTTCCTCACACACACATACAGTCTATCTTCTCTCAGCTGCAGCTCCACCGATTTCTCCTCCTCCTGAGATGGCGGGACGCGGCGAGGCTGTGAGTTTGTGTGTGAGCACACACACAAACTCCCAGCCAGGTGTGTGTGTGTGTTCGGGCTGGGTTTCGCTGTGTCTCGCTGTCTCGCAGACGGCCACTGGGCTCATAGGGAGGCTCAACAAGCCGTTTAGGACAGAGAGTGAATACACATACTATACAGAGATGCTGTATGAGAAACCAATGTGAGTTTGGAAAATTGCACAATGTACATTTATTTTAGTAGACCTCAACAATGGAATTATGATCAGTAGAAATAGTCCATGACATGGGACCTTTAAGACCTTCTAAATCATATTTAAGAGCTTTCTTGTTTTTTGATCATATTTAAGACTTTTTAAGACAGGTCAAAGTTCAACAAACTGTTATTGGTAACAAATGTAGTGCCCCGCTCGGGCCTGAAAACGCTGATTAATTGTTTTTACTGCTACTTTAGGAAAACATAATCACCGAAATTGTTTTTTTTGACAGTGGCTTGGTTTTAAAAAATAAGTACATAAATAAAGATATTAATACAAACATAAGAAAATAAATTAAAATGTCTCAAAGGTTGAATAAAAATGTGTTTAAGTCAAATGTTAAAATGTCTAATAAAAGATACAATTAAATAGAATAAGATAAATATAAACATAAAAAGTTACATTAAAATGGAATATAAATATGAATATAAACGTAAGAATTTTAAGTAAAATGTCCAATACAAGATAAAATAAAACAGTAATATTTTATAGAAACATATAATGTTCAAATAAAAAAACTCAACAATATACAACATTGCAGAGTTCAAAAACCTTTTTAGACTGTAGTTAGTTAGACCAGTCTATTGACGACGTGCGTCCATAGACGGGAATTTATCCAAGAGCCTATCAATGAAAACTTGGGGTAAAAACATAAATGACGCATTCAAAATGAACTGGATTGATATGCAGACATACTTGAAGCCCTGAATTACATCCTAAACTACTTCAGTAACTCCACTCAACACCAAACCTCTTCTGTTTCTCCGTTTTTACTATTTGTTCTTCTAAAAAGGTCTAGCCAGCAAAAAGGGAGTCTCCTTTGAAGGATGAGCACCAAGCTGTGTGCTGTTGGCTGTTCCTATGGTAACCAGACTGGAGTGTGTTGCACAGAGGCTCTGCGGGGATCGTAGTGCTTACTATGTGAAAAGAGCGGAAGCCTTTTTGTCAGCGGCATCTCAATGTGGGCTCATTTCCTTTTAAACATGCACTTTGATCCGGCTATCATGTACACTGTGTTGGAGCGCTAGCCAATAGAAGCACAGTAGAGATGTCACTATGTCGCTGAAGTATGACTATAATCGAGAGAGAGAGAGGATTTTAGCCTTTGCCGGCCATTTTCATGCACAAAACCCTATATAACACACTATAGAAAAAAAGAAAAAACCTCAAAGCCACTTTAACTAACAGTATGCTGTATTACACCGCAAATAACTGAACGAGATCCAAAGCAAGACTTTTAATAAAAATCAACACCGGAACAGAATCCATGGTGAAAGGCATGATGTGCTCTGTGGAGGACTGATGTGTTTCAGGCATAGGCTTACAGATCAACATACATCTGGTTTAAAGATGTTCTCTCTCTCATCAAAAGGTTGCGCTGACAGAGAAGCACTGGTCAGCATTCAAGACAAATAGTCACCAAACCACTCGACAACTTAATGACACACTCTGATGACCAGTGGGATTCCAAGTAAGCCTCAGATCCTAGAGATCTCCGCCACATACACAACGTACACATGCTCTTGTGAACATGCAACAATCAAGTGCATGTAATCTTGGGAATTGAGTGTTATTTGTTTTTTGATATTCCTGTGTAACATCAGCTCTGAAGCATGCTTTGTTTTCTGTCGTAGAAAAAAATCTGATGCACCTGTAAATGCATTGGCCACAGTGACCACTGGTAACTGACCACTGGACAGGATCTCTACACTAATGAGGTATTTTGTGACCGCTAATACTAACTAAATCACTGGGCAAATTGCAAATCCCCTACACGTCAACCATCCCATTTACAGATGATGTGAGGATTTAATCAAATGTGTCTGTTATTATATTTAAATGTTATGCGTGTGTGCGTTTACCTGCTGATGATATTCTGTGTGGTGTCCTGTGGTATATGCAGCTGTTGAGGGGTTAACCCATGCTGCTCCAGCTGGTTTTGGATCAGGTGACGGTGTGCTATCTCCACCTTCTCCTCCTGAGTGTAGCCTGAAACACACACACATGCCAATCAGAGTGTTTGAAGACAGTAATTAAACATAATCATTATTGTTATATGTAAGGGATAAAGCACAGCGAGCCAAACACCAGGTCTTTTAACTTATTTCCTTCTATTGCGCTTTTTCTTCTTCTCTTTTTCTTTACGTGGGACAGTTCAGCCATCATGAAGCCAATATTTAATATGCTCCACATATTTAAAAATTAATATTTAAAAAGTGTTTTCTGATAAAAAAATGTTTAGCAACGGGCTGCTATCGAAAAAGAACAGATCTTAGAATATCCAGGTTGACCAATCAGAATCGAGTATTCAACTAAGCTGTATAATACATAACAGTAATACATTGGTTAGTTATAATCAACCTTATTAGTCATAAATGATGTGCTGCTTGTTTGGATGTATCCAACTGTAATTTGCTTGACACAAGATTTCTTCAGCTGTTTCCTACATCACAGAAAACTCACTTACACGGGTGCTCTATGGGGTTAGCTCATCACCAGAGCTAGAGTCTGGATCCAAGATCAAATGGAAAGTGCTAAAAGGGTTTCTTAGAGCTCCTGAACCCACCTGGTACCTGCAGCACCTCCATCCTGTCCAGCAGGGCGGGGGGGATGGTGGCTGTGGTGTTTGCTGTGGCAATAAAGAGCACTTGCGACAGGTCGAAGGCCACGTTGAGGTAATGGTCAGTGAAGCTGTGGTTCTGCTCCGGGTCCAGGACCTAAGGGCACAGATAGAGACAGTTTCAGTGTGTGTTTAGTATCAAACTTCATTTAATTAATTTACATGGAAAGAGGGCCAGCTAACCTTAGCCTAGCATAATCATCTCTGGTGAAAAATGGCCCCAGGGACTCTTAAGGGTTAACTCAAACGTGAGGAGTGATAACAGCATCAAAAGGCTGCAGCTGAAGCATTCTTTTATTAAATGTCACCAAGAAGAAGTCACCATGACTGATAAGATATTTGCCTCAGTAAGTGTCTTTGTATATGTTTAACTATAGAAGGAACCAGTTTTTCTTCCTTGATTAGATTAGATATGCTTTATTCACACCATTGGTTTCATCCCAGCCGCATGTACCAGGGCATGGCACATGAATTCAAAATTAAATTAAATAGAAAATAAACATATCAACAGTTAAAGATATATCTTCAGAGTATATCTTTTAAATACAAAACAAATACGTTTTTCTACGATATATTAGACAGACCTAATACTAGAAAAACGACTGTGGAAAGTAATTGGAGTTTTAAGTATTTATAGGACGACTGTGGCTGCGAGGGAGTGCGGTCGTCTTTCAACCAGAAGGTTGTGGGTTCAATCCCAGCCCGTGCAGTCAACATGTCGATGTATCCTTGGGCAAGATACTTAACCCTGAGTTGCTCCCGATGGCATGGCCAACGGTGTGTGAATGTGTATGCATGTTAGGTCCTAGAGTAACATACACTGCTCTGTATGAATGGGTGTGAATGGGTGAACGACATGTAGTATGTAAAGCGCTTTGAGGGGTCTGGATAAAGCGCTATATAAGTACAGTCCATTTACCAGTTTAGTCACATAGTAGTAAAAAGTTACTTTCTTATAGATCCAGAAAACAAGATACTTGTACTTTGTGGATCCTTCAATATATCAGCCATTTCCAGTGTTGGGAAGTCGTTCCTCTGACTCCAATATGTTCACTTTAATTAAGTTAACAAAAATGTATTAAACTTAGCAATGAAGTTCTGACTTTTTTTGCATATTTTTATTTGATAAAGGTCGTCTGAAATACAGTTGCCCTAAAGTTATTCAACCTATTACAAGACGAGTCAGGTCTGCCTTTTTCTGCGTGACAGTGTTAACATACGTTGTTTACGTTAGGGCCGTAATAAATGAGTTTGATTGAGAACATTATGGTCTTGAGGTTGAACCTCTTTTCACCCTCTGTCTGAAACCAGCGCCCAGTCTGCACTGATTGGTTAGCTGGCTCGCTCAGTTGTGATTGGTCAACCGCCTAGAAATGTCCTGCCCTCAAGCCTATCATGTACAATGTGTTGGAGCGCTTTGGTATTTTAGCCTTTGAAGACCATTTACATGCACAAAAACTATAATATACTACAGGAAAGGGAAAACTCTAAAATAGTATAATAGGGCCCCTTTAAGCATGTGTTTAAAATAGATACTGTTTCCAAACTTTTGTGTCTAATTGAGGGGACGAATCCAACATCACATAAATTCAGCAGAATATTCCCTATCCCGCAAACTGGATCACAAAAATGAAACATCATTTATATATCCGCACCATTATTCCGATCCGCTCTAGTTTTTGATGGGTTCTTACTTGGCAAGTGCTTTACCCTTGTTCATGAGAATCGATTCAGTATTTTTTCTGTAATTCTGCTGAAAAATAAACACAAACAGAGTAACCTGACCGAGATCCCCTGTGCTTGAGATAAAAATAAAGAGGAGAATGCTCAAGGGACAGAGCTAACCTCTAAAAGGGCCGCTGCAGGGTCTCCTTGCAGGCTCTTCCCCAGTTTGTCCACCTCGTCCAGGAGGAACACGGGGTTATTGACGGCCACCGTCTTCAGACCGTTGATGATGCGGCCCGGCATGCTCCCTACGTACGTGCGCCTGGAGGAGGGAACACAATTTGTGTAAATTATTACGAGAGAAAAGTGTCAAGGTGAATATCATTTGTTTTTGCATGGTCAACTGATCCTAGGAGTATGCATTGCATTAACAGGCATCAATAATAATGGAATTCTAGCACAAAAATGTCTGTGATAAATGCAAGTATTTGTGAGCTCGAGGCATGAAATCGGCAGGATTTGGGGTTCAAAGAAACGATATAAAAGAAACAACGGGAGTAGTCTACCTGACATATTATTTATTCTTTAGTTGAACAACTTGACAAACTGATCTGTATCCCTTGCGCTCCTTCTGTTAGTATGCCTGACACATGTTTCTCATCTGGCTGGGAGAAGGTGTCGAAACTCAGTCCCATTTGACTTTTGTATGCAGGGATCAGCCCTGCTGCAACCTGAGATAAACTACACACACATGCACACACACGCACACACACGCTCCAATAGGTCGCTTAGTAATCCCGCCTGATACTATATACCCGTGCCCACACACAGCAGAGTGTCTGTGTTTTGATAAGACTCATTCTGATCAAAGGCAAGATAAATGTTGAGACGGACGCACTCTAATGATTTCTTTTTTTACCTAAAAGCAGATACTGTGTGAGCGTGAGTCCATAAATAAACTGATAGTTTGTTGTTTGTTTTGCAGAATACTTTTCCCTGATGTGAGCAAAACAGCACAGTAATCTTTTAATTCCACAAATGGTTTTGTTGAATTAATTAATTAATTTTGGTTGTCAGATCAAAGTTTATTCAATTCCACCCAGTTGTCATTTTACCAGAAAATAACGCTGTATCCCCGGTTGAACCCTATCTGAGGTTACGGCACAATTGATTGAACTGTTCTAGATCAATGCCTCTGATGTTGTCATTTGAAAACCTGGTTTACTTTTCAAGAGACAACAATTGCAATACATAATAATAACGCTGAAAAGGGCATGTCTGGAGTTGGAGGCTCCGTAAGAGATGTGCTGTTTACAGATGTAATAGCTCTGCAGCCTCTTATCTGCACAACCTTTATCGATGCACATGTGTTTTAATCATCAGTCTTTTAAATTACACACAGGTTGACTCCCAGGCACGCTGGATTTAGATCCATCTTGAGCCAGTGTGTTAAACTGCTAGATAAATACTCCAACAAGACTCTTTTAGGAAAAACTTGAAAGAAATAAGGGAAACAAAATAGCTTTTTTTTTTTTCAGTGTCATGTTCGAAATGTAACCCAAATACTTTAAGAGCTTCAAAACAAAATCCACAGAGACAACGTGGGCTCCGCCAAACAATACACTTATTATGCAGTGGCATGCTGCCAACGTTCCAGTTATCTGTGTCCTGAATCAAGTTTCCAGGATTACATGCCGCTCCAGAACAAAGAACCCATCTGAAGTACATTTTTCCATGAAGTCCATGATTTCTAAACATTGAGATTTCCTAGCACGTGGATTATTTGCCTCACTTTCAAGCTCTAGTAGAGTGATACCTGTGTCCTCGGATGTCCGATTGGTCACAGACGCCTCCCAAAGCGATGCGGTGAAACTCTCTGCCCAGAGTCCTCGCTATGGACCGTCCCACACTGGTCTTACCTACTCCTGGGGGCCCCACGAAGCAGAGGATGGGTCCCTAAAGACAATAAAGAGGCATGAATTCACAGGCAAAAAATGTGACACAGGGTTGTGGCGGATGGCAGTTTGAATCCATCATACTTAATAATATAATCATATGCCTAACAGACTGACAATTCTTTAAGACACACCTTCAGTAAAGTCTTCAGCTGTCTCACAGCCAGGTACTCCAGCACACGTCTCTTCAGCTTATCCATGGCATAGTGGTCGTTGTCCAATAGAGTGCGAGCGGCTCGGATGTCCAGGCAGTCTGATGATTGTGCGTGTGCATGTTGGGTACATGTCGATGAGTTCCAAGAAAGAAAGAGAAAGCAAATAGAATGTTTTGTTAAGAAAAGGAGAGACAACCCTCCCTTAGGACATACTCTGGCTGTGACCTCTGACCCATAAATTAATTGAACCGTGTTCAGAGGTTTTTTGTTATTCAGGCATTCTGTGGTCAGCAGCAGAGACAAGGCCAAGCAGAGTCTACCACAATTATATTATCATGTCAATTTGTAACATTTATCGGCAGCGGCTCTGATATTCTTACTGATATTCTACCACAAATAAATGATCATGAATCATTTATGGTACACTGTTTGATAGGATTATTGAATTGGAAAGCTGCTTGAACTGCATTTCTTGACAAGTAAGAGGCAGCAGAACAAATTGTTAGCACAACACAGACATGTGTTCACCTTCTAAAGCTGCTATGGCTAATAAGTTGCCTAGTTCACTAATACGGACTAACATTATATATTATTTATATTATAAGTCCGCCACAAAATACACCAAAAGCAGCGAAGAAGACCGATGACGATTATTATTATTATATTATATTATTATTGTTGCTGATGGTTGTGGTAGAGGAGCTGTAGATTTTGCACTAAAATCTGTATCATGGTCAGTAGCGTCTGGAGCACGAACGCAACCCTGTGATCCGCCATTGTTGTTGTTGTTGTTGGCGAAACGCATCAGCAATGACGCGGGGGTGAACCGAACAGGAGAGGTGGAGAGAGGCGGGGCTATGGCGTCATCGTTTCAGGAAATTATCGTATAGGGCGTACACACAGAGCCGCAAGCGTTTCGTCTCCAGACTTACCCACTTTGGGAGCCGTTTTCAAAGTGTATTGTTTTCTGGCTCCGAATCCGCGGCTCCATTTCGGCTTCGTGTGGACGAACCGTCTATACGATAAAGAACGTTAGCGGATAAAACTGATATCGTCTCTGTGTGGACGGGGCCTAACATTAGCCCAGTTAGTTTTATGTGCTAATGAGTTAGGCTAATGTTTATTATGACAAAAGTTGTGGATAACTTGTCTGTGTCACCTGCAACACCCCCCTTTTTCGTACCTAAACAAGCAAAAGACTTCTGCATAGTTAATTCAACACCCCTAACATTTGTAATTGTTCTTTGAAGTAAATTTTGAGCGTGTGAATTCTCTGGGATTCAAAGTTCTTGGAATTGCCATGACGAAAAAATGTATCATAAAGCCAAGTTTGACATTGTGATGTGTTTGTTATTATCAATAACATATTAGAAAATTATGTGAAATATGTGATTACGTCTGTACTCTGGCTAAATCCCTCGTTGTGCAAAAGGCATTCGTTTTCAGATGGATTTGTGTCTTTGACAACATGATGAATGTAGGTCTAGTATTCAGCTTGAGTTTGCCAACTATTGTGTACAAATATCTGGATCTGTAGCAGCTAAATGCTCAGATATGTTAACAGATAGTTGCTAACTTTTACATGTACTGAGAATTCTTGCTGTAAACAGCTGTGTTGGAAACTGGGTGAGATTGGATGAGAGCTGTGAGCCAAAAGGGCCAAGGTTTTGGGCCTTACAACCAAAACAATGAGCTGAAAGACACTAAAAACACTCACAGCTGAGCTGAACTACAGAGCCTAGTAAATCAAGCAACACCTTTCATATTACATGTCGTAATTTAATTGAATTCTAAATAAAAAAGTAATGATAAGTACAGGTTAAACTTTAAGTCTTACATAAAATAAATGAAAACACTAGTAATATACATTAGCAAGTTCCCTTCTTATGAATTTGAGAGGTAAACTTAATCCAGATGCCTGTGTTTGAAAGAACAACTGTTTATTCAATACAAATTATAATCACCATTTATATTAAAATCTGTCAAAGGCTAATTTGGTCAGTCCTCCAGCTGACATGCTTCAAAGCAAAAACTGCAACCAAAAAAAGTGATAACATTGATATATTCAACCCAGCTATCACCAGTGTTTCAGTGAACACATGTTAACGTAAATTTAAAGTCAAAATGACGGCTTCTGACAATGCCAAAGCTATCACACACCCATGATATATCTTAACTGTTTTGCCACGGTGCAAAGGCATAACTAATGTAGTATCAGAGATCTCTTACAGAATCTGAGGAATCTGACATATTTTTCATTTGGACCTGGAAAAAATGTGGCCTTCAGCTTTGTTTACCTTTAGTGCTTTTGCTCCATGGCAACTCTACCATCAGATCCAAGTAGTTTCTGGTCAGGGCGAACTCAGGCATGGACTGAGGCATCTTTTTTAATCTGAATACACATGTATGAGTTTAAATGTAATACAGGTCAGACTGTGGACTCATCAGTAAAATCGTACATTAAACAAAGTAAGACTAAGTATTCGAGACAATACCACATCTAAGAAATTATTTGAAGGGATCAAGGATATTCAAAGGGTTTAAAAACAAAAAACAAGCTTTGGCCTCAAAAGAGCCTTTTTTAAATTAAATTAATCAAAACATGATCTAAAAGAAAGTATCAGCATGTGGCATTATTTCACCAAAAATATTTGCTTTTTTAGAACTGTGGAATCAAAAATGTCAGGACTCATAAATGTGAGTTTACCTCTTGAGCTCCTTCAGGCAAACTTTAAGTGCAGCTTCAGGCATTTTGGCTCTGTGGAGCTTCCTTTCCAAGGCTGCAGTGTCATCGCCATCCTCATCTTCATCTTCCTCATCCAGGTTAAATTGCCGGCCCGGGAACACTCCACCTTTACGAACTGATAACACCTGTTCAGATGAGACACAGAGTCGTGAGCAGATATATAAATACAGATATTGCTGAAAGGAAAAGGAGAAATACAAACGTTTTGTTACCGTCTTCTCATTGTCAGGACTTTTTTTTCTGGTTTTCTGCAGCAGCTTCAGTCCCTCTATCTGTCTGGTCAACATGGGCAGAGCCTTCTTGAATCGCTCCTCCAAACTTAATGCATCAAGGACCTTCAAAGCAAACATGGATTTACAAAAACATGAATAGATTCATTTTAGAGAAAATCTTGAACGCAGGCCTACTCTACTGTATGTTTCAAAGTCCAAAGGCTCCTCCAAGCATGCAACATTCAATATAGGTAAATCATAACAATTAATTTTAAAAGTCATATTAAAAAAATATCAAAAAAATATATAAAAAAATACAAATTAAAATAAAATAATTATAAATATAATATAATTTAAATTAAAAATAAAATAGTGCAAGAGAATGGTGAAAGTGACACAATATGAAAGCAAATGCAGAAATAATAAAATTATATAAATGTAAAGTAAGTAATATTACAATATGAAAAAGTATGTACCAGTATTCAAATAATTTCTCAATGGCAACTATCTAATGGTAGCCTTAAAAACATTGTGACATTACAGATCCAATGCAGGTACAGTTAATTATGAAGAAACACTGCACACATGTTTCCAGTGATTGACTATGTGTATACAAAATACAAAAACAAAAAATGTCAAAATGCTGATACCACATTGAAAACAGGCTTTAAACCATGAGTCACGTACGGTTATATCAAAGTAATGAGTTTGATGTAGGGCTGCTCAATTAATCGTATTTTAATCGCGATTACGATTATGGCTTGCAACGATTACGAAAACAACGAATCGAAATAAAACGATTATTTTGGTATTATTATTATTATTTTTTTTTTTTGCTTTTCAGTTTAGTTATACCTAAAGTTCAGGGTAATCAACTGTTAAAAACGTAATGTTCAAAAAAAAAATCTCCAATAAATTGATGTTTTCAAAGTAAATGGATAATCGTTGTTAATAATCGTGATATCAATTATTGACCCAAATAATCGAGATTATGATTTTTGCCATAATCGAGCAGCCCTAGTTTGATGTATGGGAAACACAGAGCTAACAGTTCACTTCACCTGGAGTTTCTCCTTGTTTGAGGTGCGGATCATGGAGGCTACCACATCAGGGAGAGTTTCCCTGGGCAGACTGTCCAGCAGTCGCCTGAACTTAGCCACCACTGGAACAGACATGTCCAACATGCCTAACAACTAAACACACAGGAAGACATGGAAACACATTGGTGTAAGATTTAGTGACACCATTTTTCTAATGATCAGGGATAAAATCAGTTCAAAGCGATCAAACTTTTCTATTATTCCAAGGTTATGTTACGCATTTTATTTGTCACACTAATTCTTCATAATTTCAATAGTTCATCGTTTTTTGTATATTTATATTTCCTGTAAACATTTATCCTTATTGAATATTTTTGAGGTTTCTAAAAACTATTTTTAGTTCTATTTTTGATCCTTTTTTACAATGTAATGTTATTACTGTGTTAATGCATGCACCGTTTTACACCAAACCAAATTCCCTGTATGTGTAAAACTACTCGGCAATAAACCTGATTCTGATACATGTTACCCCCCTGTGTCTCCAATGTGTGATAAATGTACACTACCAGTCAAAAGTTTGGACACACCTTCTCATTCGAAGTTTTTTATTTATTTAAATGTGTTCTACATTGTAGATTTATACTGAATACATCAAAACTATAAAAGAACACATATGGAATGATCTAGTAAACAGAATATGATTTATATTTTGTTGGCTCCTGCAGAATGCTGTGGTAGCCATGCTGGTTAAGTGTGCCTTGAATTCAGAATAAATTACCAACAGTGTCACCAGCAAAGCCCCCCCACACCATCACACTTCCTCCTCCATGCTTCACGGTGGGAACCACACATGCAGAAACCATCCGCTCACCTTCTCTGTGTCTCACAAGGACATGGCGGTTGGAACCAAAAATCTCAAATTTGGACTTATCAGACCAAAGTAGAAAACAATTCAAATAAAATAAAAACTTCAAATGAGAAGGTTTGTCCAAACTTTTGACTGGTACTGTATATCAAATGACTGAGTCTTTCTGAGTCTTGGTTCTCTTTGGCTGCTCCGGAGACTCTTAAATTCTCCCTGCCAACATTCAACAATTTGGCGTGGCGCAGTCGTTCAGTCAGCCGGAATTTATTACACTTTCACCGGAAAAGTCTGTTGAAGTCCAAATGAAAATCCAAGTGAAAATATTTCCCCTTAGCACAGTAAGAAACCATCAGCCCCTTTCACTAAGTGTGGAAAAAGAAGCCATCGCTGTTCTGTTTTGAGCCAGCAGGCTTACATGTATTTTGGCTTGTTTGCAAATTGTTTTTATTCTCTTTTATTTTATAGGAGAATATGTAGGCCTAATGCTAAGGGAAATCATTTTTGACAAGGCATTGATTTTTGGGCCATGAAAAAAAAGAGACTTGTTTGAACGAGAAAGTATCTTGTGTTTTCTTTTTCATGGCCCTTAAGGGGCTGCGTATATATGTTATTAAAAACATGTACAAAAAAAAGTCTGTAGTAGTTTTTGCTTATTTGATCCTTGTTATGACACTGAAAATGTAGCTCAGGTGCATCCCGTTTCCACTGATCATCCTTGAGATGTTTTTATAACTTGATGGAGTCCACCTGTGGTAAACTAAATCGATTGGACATGACTTGGAAAGGAACACACCTGTCTATATGAGGTCTTACAGTTGACAGTGCATATCAGAGCACAAACTAAGCCATGTCTGTAGACCTCAGAGACAGGATTGTATCAAGGCACAGATCTGGGGAAGGGTACAGAAACATGTCTGCAGCATTGAAGGTCCCAACGAGCACAGTGCTCTCCATCATTTGCAAATGGAAGATGTTTGAAACCACCAGGGCTCTTCCTAAAGCTGACCGCCCAAACCAAACTGAGCAATGGGGGAGAAGGGCTTTAGTCAGAGAGGTGACCAAGAACCCGATGGTCACTCTGACAGAGCTCCAGTGTTCCTCTGAGGAGATGGGAGAACCTTCCAGAAGGACAACCATCTGTGCAGCAGTCCACCAATCAGGCCTTTATGGTAGAGTGGTCAGAAGGAAGCCACTCCTCAGCCAAAGGCACATGAAAGCCCCCATGGAGCACCTAGAGTACTCTCAGACCATGAGAAACCAAATTGTCTGGTTTGATGAAACCAAAATGGATCTCTTTGGCCTGAATGCCAAGAATCATGCCTGGAGGAAACTAGGCACCGCTCATCACCTGGCCAACACCATCCCTACAGTGAAGCATGGTTGTGGCAGCATCCTGCTGTCTAACCCAGTCTCACGGCATTTCGTGTTCACCAACACGATTTTTAATCTATTGATTCGTGTTCACCAACACGATTTGCCCCTTTTTTTCGTGTTGCACAGCACGATTTTAAAAGCAATGTATTTCTACTGCCTGCAGCACGTCTTTTTCTCCGGTCGGGTCGTGGGAGACCGGAAGCTGTGTGGTTCATAAAAACATGTTCTTACTCAATATCAAGCCACAATTATTGCTTTTATTTTAAATCGTATAATTTCGGACTTTTGTTGCCGTCTGTGAGGAAAATAAATGGGGCTCAGAGCCTCAGAATACGGACATCTGTATTTTTTTTTAAAAATGTCCTTCTAATTCGTTATTCTTTTCAAAATAACACACTGTTATTTACTCACCAATAACACACAATTATCCTTGCTTTTCTTTATTGGTTTAATTCCATAATCTCGGGCTTTTTTGGCGTCCGTCAGGAACTGAATTTCAAAATAAAAATAACCGGAAACAGACGTAGGCCTATAAGGGACATTTCGAGCATCATTGCGATTGTCAACATTTCTGAGTTTAGGATGGCCGAAGACATTACACTACCCATAATCCCCAGCTATCGTTTAGGACTACAGTCCCCGTAAGGTTACGCAGAGCGTCAAACAGCTGTGTGAAATGGAACGAAACCACGCCAGACTATCCAAAACTGGAATCGAACGCCCCCCCAGAACTATACATGCTGGCTATTGTGTTTCGCAAAATGTTCTATGGGACGTCTCTACTGAACGTTTTCGTTTTTCCCACAATTAGAAGTTGCCAGTATTAAACACATTGGTGTTATCAAATGTAAAACATATAATTAATAAATGGGTGAAAATCGCTTGTGTCCATAATGCGCAGCATTAATACCCACATGACAGCTCATTGTTACTTTGTAATTCTACTCCACTACAATTCAGAGGTTAACCTGGTATTTTTACTCCACTGCATTTATTTGAGTTACTTTGCAGATTCTGATTAATTATGTGAAATATAAACAACCCTTAAATCAGACTTTAGTTACACCTGAGTAAAATTCAGGTAAGGTGATTGTCAAGTGCCAACAATCAGGAGAGATATTTGATAGTTGGTGCTTGAGAAGACTAAACATAAACGAGTAATAAAGTATATTCATTACTCGTTATTCTCTACTAATAGTTCATTAAAGACTGTATATTATGGCTATTTTGCACATCCCTTTCAAGATTTTCAAAGGTTTATTGACATATCATATACACAACTACGGTGTAGTTATGCAATGAATGAAACACTTGGGTCACAGGTTCCTCAACAGTGCATTACAAGACATCTATCAATATGTGTGTACCTCCACCATTAAACTGTCATATTCTGCACATTTCTTATTCTATCTACATACATAAGAGTATAATTAATGTGTATAATATCAGTTAAAATAAGTGCTTCAACATAGTTAACATTGCAGGAAAGCAATATATTAGACGTTAAGTACTTTGTCAGGCTTAATATGTATCTGTAGATAGATACCCCCAAAGTTGTTTTCTTATTTAAAAGAAGACCTTAATCTGTTATTTAATGTTTAAATAAAGGTTCATTCGTTTTTCTGTTTTGCACCTCCTCCTATTAATATCTTTGTACATTCTGCACTAAACTGTTTTATTGTAGAGATCACTTATAGTATCTTCTTGATTTTTTATATTCTATATTTATACTTTCCCCCTATGAAAGTATGTACTCTTAATATTTTTTTAATCAAATAAAACACAATAATTCAATAACGTGCTTTAACCACTAGGAGGTGCACACAAGGTACACACAGCCATAATAACTTTGTATTATTAGTGTAGGACACTTTTGTTTTCTGAAGATGTGTAGTTTTATGCATGCTTTCACATAATTGTACAGCATATTGCTATACTATTTCAGACTCAGTATTTACATTCTTACATTCAAAGAAAATCAGTAATATCTTTAAAAACTACAGTCCTTTTATATCAGCTGTGCACCGTTATGGTGTAAATATAACTCATCTGTGAATTAGATCAAATGTAAAAGTCAGCCGAATTAGTGTTGATACTGCAAGGAGACGTATTGTGTGAAGAGAAATTGAAGATGTTGTTTAATTGTTGAATATATTTATGATCCACATCAAGTATTCAGTTTCGGCGGCATTTTCTCAGTTTTTCCAAAAGTCTTCTCATCAGGGCTCTATAAATAAAGAACTACGGCAGATCTGTAATATACAATGCAGCCGAACCGTGTATTACAATGCCGTTATGTGATGACTTTCAAAGAGAAAAGCAAGAGCGCTCGGAATTAAGTATTATTTTATTCTTTTAAAATGTTTTCCGGATTTCATATCATATAAACACCAAATCCCAGCATGCATTGCGGCTAAAACATCCAATAAACAAGCTTAAAACCATAGCTGAGGATCTTGGGTAATCGCTCAAAATGCCTACGTCTGTTTCCGGTTATTTTTATTTTGAAATTCAGTTCCTGACGGACGCCAAAAAAGCCCGAGATTATGGAATTAAACCAATAAATAAAAGCAAGGATAATTGTGTGTTATTGGTGAGTAAATAACAGTGTGTTATTTTGAAAAGAATAACAAATTAGAAGGAAAAAAAGATTTTAAAAATACAGATTTCAGTATCCTGAGGCTCTGAGCCCCATTTATTTTCCTCACAGACGGCAACAAAAGTCCGAAATTATACGATTTCAAATAAAAGCAATAACTGTGGCTTGATATTGAGTAAGAACATGTTTTTATGAACCACACAGATTCCGGTCTTCCTCGACCCAACCGGAGAAAAAGATGTGCTGCAGGCAGTAGAAATACATTGCTTTTAAAATCGTGCTGTGCAACACGAAAAAAAGGGGCAAATCGTGTTG